GTTGCTTTGGCTGTGAGGTGAGAGACGCGCCTGTTGGCTGCAGTCGATTCGGTGGTGGCAATTGTCGGCTGTATGAACGGGAATATATGCTCGGGATATATGCAAACCAGGCAACAGCAGCAGCAGCAGTAGCAGCAGCAGCAGCAATGGAAGCGTACGAAGGAGCGAGCGAACTAACGAACCGACGCACGCACACTCGACAGGATGTGAATATATATAGATATGTACATGTATGCGTGTAAGTATGTGTCTGTATGCGATTGTCTGTGTGTATCCTTTCCTATGCTGCGTGTGTGTCAGAGCATAGAAACAAAGTGCAAACTGGTAGGCATATTGAATGAGAGCCAAGCTACAAACATTGCCAAACTCGAACTGCATATACCCTATTCACAATTGACGAAAAAAATAAAATAAAATAAATATACAATGTAATTTTATAAATAGCTATTGGCAACTGTAATTGAATGATGAACATTCTAATTACTGATTATACATAATAGCTAATATAGATCAATCGAGAATGACAAAAGACATGGGGGATATGTTCTGATATGGCATTACCGATTAGTGATAATTATCATGTTTTGAACCATTTTAATTACCCAATTATTGTTAATTATTGAGACGATTCAGAGGAGTTGGCTAATAGAAAATTAAAGTACCTTTTCAATATTTTTTTATTTTTGTTTTGTTTTTTGTTCTTTGATTGATTAATTGACCAATTAAGACTAATAATACTGGTGTAGAAGACTATTAATACTGTTGCAGTTGGCACAGGTCGATACAAATTGCTAGGATACTATAATAAATATTATATTCATTATATTTAAATATTTATATATAAAAAATTGATATATTAATGCAAATTTGCTTTTATTTAAAAATGTCAAATGCAGCATAACAAAAGCATTATACCCTTATTTATTATATTAATTTTAAGTATATTGTTATTTTATGTAAACATTTGAATTATTTACAAAGAAACTTTAACTGAAGACTTTGACATTGATTAAAAGTGTTAATCTATATCATTAATTTATTTTAGTTAATTTTTATTTAATATCAAAATAAAAATTTTAATAAATTTCGTAATTTTTTTTTTATTTAAAAAATTTTTTTAATTAGGATTAAAAAAAATTTTTTTTGTCAGCTTTAGTTTATTATATGTTTTAAAAATAGCTCTTTCAAAAAATTCCCTTTTTTTTAAGTTAAATAAATTTTAGTTTAAGATAAAATTTAAATTAGCTTCCATATGTATTTATAATCCGTTTTGATATGCTTTCAAATTGAACTTTGGCATTAAAAATATCACAAATATCAAAATATCATAACGTATTACTTATCTAACTTAGTTGTGTTCCTTCTAGTTACAGTTGAAACTTGATTATTATTATAAATATTAAAATTAATGAATTTGAATATTAATTATATGATATTATTGCAAATATTTATATATTTTTAGGTAATTTTTCTTCTGGTATCCTTGCCATTCAAGCTCCTTCTCTGGCCAAGTAGCGCATTGAGTCTGTTATTCTGGTAGAGAATTGCAATTCGGGGTGGTCGCTGGCCTTACAATGTTGTTTAGCTTGAAGAGCTGATGCTCTGAGGACGGCATAGTTTGCTAGCTTAGTTGCAGCTCTGCATGATTCTTGGATTTCTCATATGTTTCAGAAGTGTGTATGTGTGTGCGTGTGTGAGCCTGAATGGGTGTGTGTGTGTATGTTTATGATTGTTGCCGTTGGTCCCTTTATAGAACTGGCTGACAGCCTGTATGAGCAAAATCTTGCAGTTTCCCTGCACACACCCATACACACTCATAAACACTCACATATATAAAAATACTTAACACAGCAGGATGGCCTGGCCAGGCACAGAGATGGTCAGAGCTGAGTGCCAGGCACTTGTTGTCGTTGTTGTTATTGTTGTTGCTGTTGTTTGTTTGTTTGCTGCTGTTGCTGTTGCTCTTGTTATTATTGTTGTTGTTGTTGTTTTTCTTTTGCTTTTTGGTCCAGTGGCGTCTTCCTGTCGTCGCCTACTTGAGCCAATATGCTTGCCATATGGATGCAATGTATCTCTTACGTTTACCGTTACGTTATGCTGTCGCAATGCACATGTAATACGCATATTCACTATCCAGGACAATACAAATACAATTGTGTGTGTTATTATGCAAAAGTTTGGCCAAGCTGTTTTTCATGCCAAATGCCAAATGTTTCGAGCTTTAATTGGCTTTTGTTTGAAATGGGAGGAATGAAATTGATAGTCATTTTCTAGATGCCTAAAGAGAGATATTATTTGCTATTTACATATGTAAATAAAATAAATATAATATTTAGCTCAAATTAGTCTAACTGTATATAAAAGTTAAAAATTTAATATTACTTAAAACTTGCTTTGCAATTCTCAAAAAAGTCTCAAAAGTAAATAAAAAGTTGAAGACCTCAACTTTATTTGTTTATTGTATATTGTTAATCGTCTGTTTAGGAGCTAGATAATCATATAATAGATTCATAATAGTCAGAGATTCGTTTAAAAGCTTTTTCTATTACATTTATTGAGATCCTTACGTCTTTCGATCATATTTTGTACAGCTTAAATAAAACTTTTGGTGCTTAAGCATTTCATAGAAATGAATATAAGATTTAAGATAAATATAAAAATATTAAAAGTTTACATAAATGATATTTGTATACTTTCAAAAATCCTCTGATCATATTTTATCATCTAAGATCCAGTTGATCTCTGAGTATGCATGCATAAGCACAGGTAGTAATAGCCGACCACCTGAAGCTCCAGCTAGAGTCTAAAGTATTTTCGCCTCGTAATGCGCTGCCGGCGGTCTCTGGTACTGAATCTGATTCGGAATCAGACTCTGGTCGCTGCTGCGGTTGCTGTCTCTGGCCTCTCTATACGGTCGCTCGGTTCGCACGAACAGCTGATGATGCATATAAATACCGAGTGGGAGCAGAGTGAGTGCTCGCAAAATATGCGGATGGGTTTTTGTTGTTTGGAGGGCGATGGCGATGGCGATGGCGTTGGCACTACTGAGGCTGCTCGACTATGTGTGCGTGCGGGTGTGTGTGTGTGAGTGTGTGTGGCTCGGGGCCCCAAAACGGCCCAGACAGCTGGGCAGACAGGCGGTCAGGCCGATTGGTCCCACACGAGAGAGCCCCCACCGAGTCTTTCAAAGGCCAAGTTCAGTATCTTGAACACACATTTCATGTGCTGCCTATTGTTGTGTGTCGACCGAGTGTGTGTGTGCGGCTGGCGTTGCAGTTGCGCGATTTGAAACAACAACAGAACTCGCAGTCGCACCCCCAAACCCCTGCACTCCCCACTCCCCATCCCAGCCCCCACCAACACCAACTTCGACTCGAACTCTGCGAAAGTCTGCCGTGATTCTGGGCCATGCAGTCAGCCGCCTTCATGTGACCCAATTTCGTCGGCGAGCTGCGAAAGTGAAGCTCTGAACTTCATTTTCACATCAGCCGGTGGGCGGAATTCCCGTCATGGCAGGTGGGAATTCAATTGGTGCACAAGATGATCAAAGGTTAAACTTGACATGATTTAGCAAGGATAATGCAGATGTATATATATATATAGGTATATATGTATGTATGTATGTATACATATATAAATGTAGATATACAAACATACATATGCATATGATCATACCATACAATCAAAATTTAGCTTTAATAAGTGGAGCAATTTTTTAGTTTTTAATTATTATAAAATATTTAAAAATGTATACATAAACAAAACAAAAGTGTTAATTTTAATAATTTAAAACATTAAACTAGCAACTTGCATTTCATTTTGTTCATATCTCTTTTAGTTTAGATTTAATAAGCTAAGAACCACTGTATATACTCTGACTCTCTCTCTCCCTCTCTCTTGCCGCATTATCTTATCACTGATTAACGTTCACTTTGACTACAGTAATTATTGTAACTTAAGAATTAGCATGGGTGAGAGGGGTAGATAGAGAGAGAGGTAAATACAAAGAGACAAAAATGATCCATAAACTAAACTGTATAACTTTTGGGTGTCATTTTCATGCGATTTGTTCTTGTGTGACACAGTGTAGCGCATTTTGCTGTTGTTTTTGTTGTTGCAAAATTTCAAAGAGACAACGATAAGCATGTGCTGCTCATAAAAGTAAGCAAAAAAGAAATAACAACCGCAACAACAATCATAGTCAGCAGTTCGTTGTCGTTGTCGTTGTCGTTGTCGCTGTTTTCGTCCGGTTTTCGCAGTTTTCTCTGAGTCTGAGAAATTGACCAACGATTCCTACATACACACATGCACTTACATAATTATCTATAATCATGCATAAGTATGTACATACATATGTATGTTGTCTGTTACATGTAATAGCTGTTGTCGCCAATGCCAGCGCGTAGTTGTGTATGTGTACGTACGTGTAGGGTGTCTGTGATTCATGCTAGCCGAGCTGGCCGCATATGCCAAAGACAGCTAGTTTGCGCCATAATTTCAGAAAAAATGTTATGTTATAGCGCGAAAATACGATGATTCGGCCCAGCCTACACTCACCCACACAATCACATCACATCACATCATACACTCATACACCACTCAGTCACATACTTTTCGCTCTGATGCTAGCTCTCAGCCACGGTCTCACACTCTCGCGCTATCATGCTCTCATGTTCTCATGCTCTCTTTAGCTCAGTTGCTCACTCGCTCGTTCGCTCGTTCGCTTGTTATTCGCTACTGTGGTACAGTACGGTTTGCTTTCATTGCTGTTACTGTTTCGCTTTGCTTTTGCTTCTGCTTTTGCTATTGCTATTGCTTCTGCTTTTTAAATTACTTGCCTTGTGCTTTAACATTTGCTGGCGTTCGCTCTGTTTGTGCGTCCCATGCTCTGCCTAGAGAACATTCGCATATTCTTTGTTTAGAATAAACCAATAAACAAAATTTCCCTCAACACGTCGGCTAAAATATTATAATTAGAGATGACATCGTGCTGAACAATCTATCGTGACACGACATTAATGAATGCATGAATATTTTTTCACATATATTTTCACGATCTTATAGAAGCGATAATATAGGTAATGCTATACGATCTGTCGTTCTACTCGATCTTTAAGCTCATTTTGTATAAGCATTCCACCTGCATTGACTAAGGAAAATAAAAATAACATTAATTTTTAATATTATTTGAAAATTTTCTAATTAATCACTTTTTGCATTAATACTTATAAATATTGTTGCGCTTTGTGAAGTACTAATGTATAATTAGACCTGTGATTCCCCTTAAGTCAAGACCATTTCTGGTATATTTGAGGGAGTAAACGTTTTAAGTAAATAGATTTACCTCTGTGGTATCGCCGCTGATCTTGCGACGCTCCACTGAGAGCATATACTGAATTTTGGATTGCATAATCATTGCATTCGAGAGAGGCATGCTCCTTAGTTGGGCCGCAACGCTGAGTCCGAAGAACATAAATTCATCGTCGCCCAGCGATGGTAGCGTCCGAGTTCGATCCAACAACGTAGAGCTTACAACCGGCGTAGGGTTAACTTCGACGGGGGAGGGAGGTTGGGCTGGTGACGTTATGAACCGCAACGGGGGTGGCGGACTTTGAGTCGGCATTACGGATAGAGCTGTTGTGGGTATAAGCACCTGTTGATCGGGCTCGAGTTCCATTTTAATTTCGCGCTTCTCTTCGGACTCCAATGGAAGCAGCTTGATGGTCTTCAAGCGCGGCAATTTGATCTGCAAACGCTTTAAAGGCGGCGTATTTACCAGCACTATGGCTTCGTCCGATTTCTGTATATACGAAATACATTCATGCATACATATAAGCTACAATGTATATAAAATCGGAATGCAGTGCCAAAATTTCGCTTTACCTTGTCCAGAAATTGAGCCATAAACTTGTGCAGCGGTGCAAACCAAGGAATTTTCGGAGTATACTTGGGATTTGCTCTGATCTTCTTCAGCTCCTGGTGATAGCCCGTGCGCAGATTTTTGATTTTCATCTTGACACCCTGTATGGTAATCGGGTTTTCAGTGGGCTCTGCTTCGGCATTGATGCCCATTTGGATGCGCTTGTAGGCGGCATTGCGAGCAGCCCAGAGCTGGGGTCGACGGTTCCAAAGGCACGGCTCACGGCTGTAAAGCTCCACGAACTTCATGTGACGCTCGTCGGTGAAGCGGAATGGTAGGCCGCCATTGCTGGACATGTGGATGGGTGTTTAACAATGGCAGTATATGGGAGAGCAAAACAAAACAGAAACAACAAAAAAACCGTTAGGCGACCGCGTGTTTGCAATGCTCGCTGAGAACTGCGACCAGCCGATTGTTGCTTTGCTTTGCTTTGAGTGCCTTTTTTTGTTGGCGCTCGGGTCTTGCTCTTGCTGTTGCTTTTGCTTGTGCTGGCTTACCGAAGCTTTCGCTTTGCTTTTAGCTTTTGCTCTATGCCATCGCTTGCACGTTATCGTGCTTTACAATTCTCTTTCAGTCAATTAAGAGATGACGAAGATTGGACAAGTGGAGTAGATTTGTAGAGCCGTTGTATCGATATTTTATGACAATCGATTAACGCTTAAACTTAAGGAAAGTAATTCCACATACATATGTATATATATGTGTATGTAAACGTACATATGTATAAAAGTAGTGTTTAGATATGTTTGAGTGAGTTAAGTTATTTAGGTAAGAGAAGAACGGCAAAGTATATACTGCTAACAATCGATTACCGATAAAAACTATTTGTAAATAGATTTTTCTTTAGAAAAAGATGTTTGATATGTGTAGGCTTTGAAGCTAATTTGCATGCCTGAGATTAGCTGATTAATCGAAGGCGATTAAGTCTAAATAGGCCTTAAAGTTAGGAAGAGGATCGTCAGATAACGACTTAGGAGCTGAAGCAGGCTTTGATACTTGCTGACACTTAATATACGATTAAATGAAAGCGATTAAAGCTTGGCTTTTATTTATTTAGTCTTTATAGATCCTTTACAATAATATTACAGAGGTAAAACGTTTCCTGTAGGATCTTTACTTAAGATGGGGTAGAATCTCCTCTGAAACTAATAGAGCAAATCAGTTCTATTTTTATTTTATCAACTAAAGCATATTGAACAAATAGACAAATCGAACGCCATGGCATTGTTCAAGTATTTGATATGACCTTACCTACTTCGCGCTTCTACCCTATGCAATTCATTTGAATTCAAAGAACTCAAAAAGTCTTAAAAAGATTTTCTGTGCAATTTCCCAATGCTGCAGCTTAGCTAGAAATCGCACAGAGAATTTCACAGAGAGAGAGAGTCCTTCGACTGTCTGCCATTCCTGTTGTCCTTGTTGCCTTTGTGCATTGCAAACAGCGCGTGACATCGTTATCCTTTGTACAAACGGCGTTGCCGTTGCCGCTGCCTTTGCGTTTTCCTCTCCCAGCTAGAAATTTACCCTCAAATAGCATCGACTATTACGAGAGGTTTCCTTTAGGCCTTCGGCTTTTTTCACAGAGCTATTCAATAAGATGATGGCGGGAAAACGATCCACAGCGTGCCTTGTGCGCTCGCTTTCGCTCTCAGTCTCGGTCTACAACGCTCCCTCTCTCTCTTTCTACAACGCTGAGTTTGGGTGGGTAACTTAACCCTAAACAGGACAGCAGCCGTTACAAGCAACCGTTACAATGGATAAAAAAAACTGCCCTGCTTGAGATTTTTTACAACGAGAGAAGTGTGGAAGGTTCGTCTGGTAATTTATGTTCTCTTTTTTGCATAAGGTAAACCTCTGGTAACAAAGGTTGCGATAACGATCTATAAAAGATTTCCTTTTGATATGGAAATATATTGCATTTAATTAATTATTGGGTTTTATTTTAATTTGTGAGCTTAATGAGGTTTTGAGGTCACTTAAAGATGTCTAAAATATTTTTTAACTATAACAAATCCATTTAATGCTTTTCTATAATATATACCCTAAAATGCTTATAAGGACATTCAAGAAAACTTTGTATCAGCAGCAACGTACGATTTTGTCATATAAATAATTTCCATTTCATTTCTCGTATATGTATATATATATGTATATCCAAGACATCGAGCATTCCATTTGTGACGTCAGCAGTTGTTTTATCAACATTTTTTGTTTTTCCATTATGCACAACAAAAAGCTTGCTGCTATATAATTCAAAAGCAATATTCGTCGAATGAGTTTGTTTCTTCTGCATTAAAGCCAAACATACGCGTTGATTAAATAAGCTGCTGATAAATTAGTGGATATCCTTGATTTTCTAGAAAAATTGAATGTAAAACTTATTTATGCATAAAGCTTACATTTTCTAGAACTTTGCTTCATAATTCATATTGTTAAAATTAATGATAAACAATTTTCCAAGTACATATAAATTAAGCAAAGACAAACTAGATGCATACATGCGCATATTAATATAATTAAATGTGGATATATAAGTATATGCAGATATTTATACATAATTATGTGCATATGTAAGCATTTAGTGCATGTGGATTTGTAAATTATGTTTTTGCCTGGGATTAAATTGTCATTTTTGGCGCCATTTTTAAGTCAGGCCTCAGAGCCCGTTCTGTATGTACTTCTACGTGACAGTGAGAGAGCCATTGGAAAGAGCCAGATGAAAAGACACTCCACTGCTCTACACACTCATAGCTGAAAATGTGGGGCAGATGAAGAAGTATTTAAATCGTTCATAATTGTCAGTTAGCTAATTTGAAATTGTTTTTATTGTAAACACGCTTTGCGGCTGCCATTTATTGCATTTACATTTCAAACTGAATATTTATTGATGTTATTTTTGTTTTTACCAGGCTTTTATCGGCGTTTCCGCTTTAGTTCTATATTTCCGATTTATCTCAACGTGTATGTCTCAGATAATAAGCCGGCTGGCTTTTCACTCGCTCTCTCGTACATTCGCTCTTTTAGATATGGTTGCGTGTCGTCCGAGAGTAGCAATATATTGCAATAAGCAAATTTAAATATATCAATTTAATGGCATTAATAATAAGCAAAGCTATGTAGTTTAATGCATACAAACGAATCTAACTCATAAATACTTTAATCATTTTGAATATCGAGCAATCATATATGAGTCGTAAGATATTTCAGTAATCGTGTTAGGTCGTGCCTCGTTAAGGGTACGTTTGGAGTCACGCGCTCATCTTAGGTAGCATTTGTGCTTATGTATGTATGTCAACTTCAACGATATCACCATTTTTACCAGCTGCTTGTTTTCGTTATAACACTGGACGCAGAGTTCGTACAGTTAATATTGAGCAGCTCAAGAGAAAGGTTGGTTGTGTCCCAAGAATTCGGTTTAATATAATACATATATAATAGTACGAACAATTTGTTAAGTGAATTGAAATAGTGGATATACGAGTTTTATATTATTTTTTTAATTTAAATTGTGTAGTGAATTAATTCATGAAAGAAATTAACAATTTTCAGTTATCATTGATACCTTTCCAGTGCCCAGTGAGCACACTTCAAATCGCCTCATCACAACGTACGACGTTGCTGTACGAAGAGAGCAAAGCGATGTCTTTTCTGACTTTTTGATTGCCGTGAGCGACGTTCAGTCAAAATGGCTGCTTGGGCTATTTATTGAATTCATTTTGCATAATTATGTGTAAAAAACGCGTTACATTCTTGAAGAATTTATTGTTCGTCAATAACGCACGGCCAGTAAACTTAAAATGCGCGCGTTTTTGTCCTATTCACATATTTTACTTTGTTTCCGTATTTGTATTTGTTTTTACTTGGCATTTAACAGCGTTTCTGCTTTGCCCCTTCATTTGTGCTCTCTCACTCGCTCTTGCTCTTTCACTCTCTGAGAGGGAGAGAAACTGGCCAGCCGGCAATTTATCTGCTGCCGACGTCGCTGTCGCGCTGCGTGACCAACGTTTGCTGCTGCTTTTAGTTTCCTTGCCTTTTTGCTTGATTCACTCAGTACAGTTGAAGTCAGCAGAGAAACGTGAAAGGTTGGTAAACGCACGCAGTCAAAAATTGAAAAAACTAAATTAATTTTGTGCAAGATTTAAAATTTAAATTTAAAGTGTGACAATATAGTTGTTATTTCATTTATTGAAAAGATTCATAAAACAAAATAAAACTGTTTACATACAAGGAAGGAAATTTTTACAATGTGCAATTTCTTGAATGACAGGCCAATTATAATAATTATATAGTGAAAATGCGGTTTCAACATCAATTTTAAAGACATATTTAACAGACTTTTCAGTTAGTTTTCGCCTGCTGCTTAATTTTTCACCATACAAATTTGCTCTTTGTAGTACATTTCTCATACAAAACGTCGCTTGGCCCTGGGCCTGTGCTTGCTATGCCAGTGCAAAAGAGCGCGTCGCATACACGACGCTGCTGTACCACACACAGGCCCAAGCAAAGCAGGCAGTACATACAGAAAAAAGTGTTGCCATTTCGGTCTTTTGCACTCAGCGCTGTGGGAGCAGCATAAAGAAAATGGCTGCTAATGTTCATAATATTGTGATTTGGCATTTAAATGCTGATTTGTTGTTTTTATTAATATGTTAATATTGTTTAGGCTGCGCGCACTCTGGATGTCGTTTCTAGTTAGAAAGACGCGCGCGCGCGCTTTTCAGAATAGTCAGCTTCGACGCTAGCACCAGTGTATGTGTTTGTGTGTGTGTACGTGAGCAGTATTGCCATCTCTTTTGATGCGTTCGGCCATTGCTGCATGTATATGTGCCTGCTTGCTTGTGTGTGTGTATGCTTGCTCTATGGTGGTGGCTTCTTCTCTTTGCCCTTTTTTTTGAGCGGCATTTAATCAGCGTACACATCTCGTATTTTGCAACTGATACTAATTTGATAATTTTTATTATTGATAATTTCATTACAGCTCGAAGCTTAGCAAATTAATTTAGTAACTTACTACTTACACACACAAAGACACAAAATAAAATGGCCGATAAACCAAAACGTCCGCTCTCTGCTTATATGCTGTGGTTGAACAGCGCACGCGAGGGGATCAAACGTGAGAATCCTGGCATCAAAGTCACCGAGGTGGCCAAGCGTGGAGGTGAATTATGGAGAGCAATGAAGGATAAGTCGGTGAGTGGATAATGAGAAAAAATCAATTATATATTCGATAACTAATTAAATTTCTTTATTGCTTTGCAGGAGTGGGAGGCAAAGGCAGCTAAGGCCAAGGACGATTACGATCGTGCCGTGAAGGACTTTGAGGCCAATGGCGGTGGTGGTGGTGCGCCGAATGGAAATGCCAAGAAACGCTCAAAGCCTGCCAAAAAGCCAGCGAAAAAAAGCAAAAAGGAGGAATCTGAAGATGACGACGATGAGGAGAGCGAGTAAAGCATTGTTACTTTGTTGGCATAATTAAAGGAAACCACAAGAACAAATATAGTGGACCTCCTCCTCATTCAGTCAATCCCATTTCGTCTAAGCTACACCACCAACCCCCACACACTCCACACAAACCACATACCCAAAAAAAAAAAAAAAAAAAAAAAAAAAAAAAAGAAAAACCCATAACAATGAGACCACCTCTAATAATATCAAAAGAAACAGGAATGTTGCTGTCCGAAATACGCAACTAAAGAAAACAACAGCAACAACAACAACAAAATGAACATATGCAAAATTGTATTTATACTTAAGAATTTAAGTTTATAGTAGGCGAGTCTTTTAGTATACACATTTCACAAGAGGACAAAACAGTTCAGTTTTTTTTTTTTAATGTCGAGCTCAACGCGCGCCGGATTTTTGAATCCCGCCGCATTAACAAAACTCAAGAAAAAGACGGCGGCAAAACAAATGAAATTGATTGATTTGTGTATCTTGCATAAAAATTTTGTAAATTAAACGATAACGTAATTCCATTATAAATAAACAAAACGAAAAAAAAAGCAAAAAAAAAAGAAAATACAAAACACAAAAATTGTTCTGAAAAACTATATCCTGTACGTGAGTAGAATTTACTCACACAACAACAAGAAAAACACATTGAGAAACGTTGCTAGGGTCGGCCAAAACGAACGGCATATTTACCGTCTATTATATAGATCGATATATACCAATAGCTCTATATGCGTAATGTTAAACAAGTTATATCAGATTTAATGAAAAAGAGTGTACAAAAATGCAAAAACAAAAACAAATGAAGGGAAAAGGCGTTGAGAGAGCTTTTTCAAATGACGTTCAAAAACGAACGAAATTTCGCTCAGGTTTTTCGTAATTATTGAACTCTAGATAAACATCTTTGTTAATCCCTAAAGATGTTGCAAAATAAAAGAAAGTAAAAGAAAAGAAACAAAATATATATTGCATTTAATCTGTAGTCTTAATTAATATCTATATAATTTAATTCCAATGAGAAAAAAATAAAGAACAAAAAAAAAATAAAATAAAATAAAATACGTTTTTTAAATGCGTTAAAAAGAAAATGTTTGGATATTCTTCTTTTTTTTTTAGATTGAAGAGGGCTATGGAATTTTGAAGAGTCTACAATATGCCAGTTGGAATTATTCACAGTTCATTTTGGAAGAATAAAAGGAATAGCCTATTGTTACCTATGGAGTATAGTCCTATATGAAGTTGAATATTATGTGGAATTGCTATATATATCATTTATCCTTAAGTAGAGCATATCCCTGTATAGTTAGCTTAAAGCACTAGGAAATCAAACTCAAATTGAAACGTTTTTATTCTTATTTATTGTTTTTTAAATATCATCTCATATTCAATAATCGATCACTAAAGCTAAATGATTTCATCGGCTGCTGTCGCTGCTGCTGTTTTTGGGATTCCATTAGATGTAAAATGTTTAATGTTTAATGTTTAATGTTTAATGCTATGTTATGTATTTTGTTTATCTCATGCATACAAATACCGTTTCATTACATTAGGCTATTAATTAATTCACGTTCTTGTTGGGATCAAAGTATAGTACTCCATGGGATATTATGTTTAACAATGTTAAGCCTATAAACTAACATTTAACAAAAGCACAATAAGAATTCAGATCAACTTTGAGGTGCGATAGTTAAAATTATGCGCTATAAGATTAAGTCATTAGGTATACACAACATATATATATATAATACACAGATCTATGTATATATATATATAAACAATTTTCAGTTCCGTGCTTGGGATTGGTTCGGATGGGATATACACACACATATAAAAAAAAAGGCATTTAAGATCGTAGAGCTTGATTGGAGTTACTTCGGTTGGTTTGCTTCAGACATATGGTAAATACTTTGAACTGCTTATAGAAGAAGAGTTAATAATACATTTCCATAGATTGACAAATATTAAAAGTTGATTTTGTTTTTGATTTTTTCTTTCTTTCTTTTTTTTGGGTATCCACGACGGACAAACATATCTTAGTTGTGCTTATTTAATTAAAGACAGAACTTATAACAAATATGGCAAAAAAAAAAAAAAAAATGAAAAACAACAAAATCTCTCCCAATGCCGGCGGCAAACAAAAAAAATGAAAAACAAATCATGAGCATGCGAACTGTAAAGGAAAATCTGCTCAAGTTTTTCCCCCGGCTGGCCGTTGCGTGAGTGTGTGTGTGTGTGTGTGTGCAGCAAGTAGACAAAAGACAAACAAACAAACGGAGATAAGCACCATCAGGCTGTGGCATCCTGAACTGACCCGATCCGGCCCGACCCTCTAGTTGCGGTTCAGCCAGAAGATGGTCTTCAGCACAAAGTAGGCCAGGCCCAGACAGTAGACAATCTTCTCGCGCTGCATCCGCTGCTCGTTGTTGATCTCAATGTTGAGCACGCGCCGATTCAGTTTGGCCAGCTGGCGGCGCAGATAGAGGATCTCCTCGTGCGGCGACAGTTCACCCATGGGCGTGCCCTCGCGCTGGGACAGCATGGAGGCATCCAAATTGCTTTGCTGCTGCTGCAGTTGCTGTTGCATCAGCTGCGAACGTTTGCTGCCGCTGCCCGTTGTGAGCTGAGAGAGTGAGAGAGAGAGAGAGAGAGAGAGGAAAAGGAGGTTAGTAAACTTGGCTTAAAGGAGTCACTCAACTCACATCAAAGTTCTGATAGACCATGGCTTAAATACTAAATATAAAATATATCTATCATAAATAGTTGTTTAGCTTTCGGAAATTTTGACAAATTACAAACGATAATTTCAATGACAACTAATTTCAGTTAGTCTAAACAGATCTCTGACTAAAAACCGTCTAGAAGCAAAATTGGCAAATAAGTTAACTTGGCTCAGTCGAAAATTGGCAATGCAAATAAATATTTATAGATTTATGAAAATTTGGATCGTAACACTCCCTGACTTTTCAGTCAGCATCTGAACATCGTACGCCTCTCCACACAGATTGGTAAACAAAATTTAAGAAAAATAAAAAAAAAAATAAATAAATAAAAAAAAATCAATAAAAGTCAAGCTGAGAGTATGTCACAAGCGCACTATTCCGAGGAGGATGAGCTGCCCAAACTGGAGTCCATCAGCAATGCGGTCAAGTGCGAGCAGACGGGCCACATTATGGAGGCGATACTGCTGTACGAGGAGAGCATCTTCAAGCTGAATCAGCTGGCCAATTCGGATCCAAAGAAACAGCAGCTCTATCTCAAGTACCTGAAGATGTACGAGGCGCGCGCCAATCAGCTGCGCGATCAGGTCAAGGCTCATCTGCACTCCAGCAAGATGCTGGAGCACATCACCATCGAACGGGATGCCAGGGGACGAGGCTATCAGCGTCTGCTCGGCGCCTACTTCAACGACAGTGTGAAGGAGGCGCATCTGAATGAGCCGCAGCTCTGCGAGCAGCATCATTTTAAGAATCTGGTGAATTTCTTGGAAGTGCTGGTCAAGAGCTGTCGCTACTTGAAGTACATACGACTGACGACGCGGCCGGATCTGGCGTTGCCAAAGAATCAGCTGCACATCCTGCAGCAGATTCGCGCCGATCTGGCCACGGGCAACATTCACATGAACTTCCAGCTGGATGAGACGCTGCACGATCGCAAGATCGTGCTCAGCTCCGGCGTTGTCATCAAGATCGGACGCGGCCTGCACTATTTCGAGCCGTGCGAACATCTCTATACGCTGGGCCTCTGCGATTTCGATTTTCGCAAATGCCTGGCCACCGAGGTGGACGTGTGGAAGTGCCGGGCCTTTGCCAAGCCGCTCCGGCAACAGCCCGAGCATTCCGTCTACCAACCGACCGCGCCCAAGGACATCGAGCAACGGGCACACCAGGGCATGTCCAGCATCTACTCGAGCGAATAGTGAGCCGTAAAGCAAATTTGGCTTATTGAGGGTATACAGACTGCAGCATTCCTGGTCAAATATTTACAGACTCAAAGAAAATTGTGGTATTAGAGATGAAATTGTACAAATATATGAAAACTAGATACAGACACAGATGGAAAAGGCGAGAGGAGTTAATATAGATATATATACATATATACAAGTAGGAGAAGTGGAAGAGCGAGCACATTATAGATCAAATATTAAATAATATTAAGGAAGAACTATATATAAAAGATATTTAGATTAGTAGATATATTTAGATAGTAGTAGATATATTCCTGATTTGCTAAGATATTCAAAATGAACAATAGATATATGTATATGGTAGGTATAATGTAACTTGAAGATCATATATGAAATAATTTTTGATCTAGCTTAATATTAATTCTCTATATGAGTTTATAGAATACATTTGAATTATATTTTAGGAGCAGAGTTTGATAATGTTTATATACATTAATAATAGCCTAACAATCTTTTATTAATGATAAAGAAAACTAATTGAAAACGCTAGACAGAACTATGAATATAAGTCAAAGAAATATATAAATATATTCCATAATCCTCTCGGATCTACCAGTTGAAACTGAGCTATGCTAACTCTCTCAGAATACTCCCATGAAATCTGTGCTCAAAGCTCTCCCATTAGCCAGCTGACCACACGGATTAAATATTAATAATATCAATACAATTCATAAGCACTCAGCAGTTCGCTAATCTCAAAACAATTGAAATGTGGTTCGGGGCGGGGCGAAAGTTTCGTCATGAGCTGCACTGGCACATGGGCTGATAAGGGATCGAAATCGTATTGAATTACGGCCGTGCAATGTGCCTGGCACGTCACGAAATTGAAGAAGGTATTAGATTAGAAACTTTCGCAGACAGATCTGACTTATATAAAGGATGTAGAAATACATATACAGATAACTAGAGAGAAATGCTGTACTGCATCTGCTCACCTGCGAGTCGGATTCCACGGAATTGGCGTCGTTGCTGTTCTGAAATCCCATGCGCACGTTGCCATTGGAGCGCACATATTGTGTGGCACGTTGTCCCTCCTCGTCGTCATCCACATCGCCGTCCAGATCGTTGCCATAGAAATTGCCGTTGGGTCGTTGGTGCGGTGAGTTCTGCTCCGAGGCCGATGGGAAAGGATGATCCGTGAGTGTGATGACGCGCGGCGGCGTCTGTACACGCAGAAAGCCCACCGACGGATTCTTGGGCAGTATGGAGTTCTCCAATTGGATTTCACGCGGTGCCGAACGCGTCTCCAGATGCTGATTGTGGCCCAGCACCACAATCCTGTCTGGCACATTCATATCGATCTTGTCATGATAATTCCACGAACTAATCATTCCATTCTGATTCGATAGCAACAGATCCTCGTCGGAGTACTCGCCGGTGGCCTTTATCCGTTTCGGCACGCGCATCTTGTCGTTGATCTCGTGCGCATATTTCGCATCATTAAACAGATCATCGTCCAGCCCGTTGAACATGGGAACGGGCGATTGTGGTGTGACCATTTCGTCTCTGGACTTTGGCTCCTCTCTCGTATGTATTTGCCCTCGTCCGACTGGGATGGGGGGCGGCTGCGACTGCTGCGGGACACTGCTATTGGGGCACGGCCAGGGATTTTGTTAGGCGTTGGGCGTTTGGGAGAGGAGACGTTTTCATAACAGTTATAAATCACTGGTAATTTAAGTTCAGATTGCACAACATGTTTGCTATTTTAATGTGTCGTGGAGATTTTGTTAATTTTGTGTTACTTACATTTTTCGAACTGACAGAAATGCTTCCGTATAGATTCGTATATGCCGTGTAAATTCTAAGTTTTTTTTTATTTTATTCTTTTCTTGTCTTTATCGCTCGCTTCGTCGTGCCTTTTGTTGTAGAAATATGTGCGTGCAAAAAGGCAGCAAAAGAATGTACTAAATATAACCACAAAAGCGCTTTATTTGCATTTGCAGTAGAATGTTGTTTAGAAAAGCAGTGCGAAAAACAATGAAACTAACTATGCCATTTAAAACATAAATACAATTCAATATAAATGGATAAATAATATAAATGCTAATGAATCATATTTACTCTCATTTTGTTACATTTTCATTTTTTTTAAATAATGACAGCTGCATCTTGTTATCTGCTGCGTATTGGCAACTCTGGAAATTCACAGCCATTCACCACGAAGCGGTAACAATAAACGCACACAACAACGCGTTGCCGCGCTCATTTACAATATAATTTCTGCCGCATTCGGACGGATTGACAAGCGTCCTTTTTACATGTCAGAAAGATTGGAAATTTTAAAAGACAAAAATTGGTGTACAAATATTAATTAATTTTGCAGAGCTGGAAATACATTTAAAGCATATTGGCTACCGTTTAAATGTAAGTGCATTACGAGTAGATAACAATATTTGTTGCAGTCGCTGTCGCTGTTGGCGACGACGACGACGACGACGCTGGCGTTGACGTTGACGGCGACGTCGCCGGGTACAGTACGCGCCGTTTTTTTCGTGCCAGCTGAAAAGTGTTGCTGTTGTTGTTGTAGCAGTAAATAGTTTGAATGGCCAGACAGGGCGGGAAAGTGTAAACACAAAATGCTATAAATAAAATGTAGCGCGCTTTTCTATATATTATATAAATACATATTGTTTCTGTATTTATTGCAGATCGTGCATATTTAAATTAAGCAAACGCAATGGATCGACGCTCATTACGTTCGCGTCGCGCAGAGGATTTCGCACCCGCTGCTGCTGCTGCCCCACCCACTACACAGTCGGCCGCCGCCGCCACACAGACTCGGCGCGCCAATGCTGGAATTCGCACACGTGCTTCGCCCTCACGCAACAAGGTGCCGCCCCCCGAGCCGCCCGTCGCCGATGTAGGACTGCGCGCCCGTCGCTCCAGCCGGCCGCGTTCCGCTGCCGGACAGCCGGTCGCAGCGCCCCGCACAACCGCCACGCGGTCTACGGCCAAAGCGCCAACGCCAATCAAGGAAGTCAATGAGGTTGGTGCAGGTTTCTATATTCTATTTGTTTATATATAGAGATAAACTTAGCTATATATAAATAGATAAACTAGATATATGTAGTAGACATCTCTATGTGTGTATGTTTTGTGTTTGTGTTTATTTTAACCGGTCTGCCTGTTAAGTTTTTTCAACTTTGTTATCTTGACTTGGTCCAATACAATCAACGTTGAGGTCTTATCTCGTAGAGCTGTTTGAATGTGTATGTGTAGTATAAGTTTTTATATATAAACATTTTTAATTAAAGATTTTATGTGGCTATTTAGTGAATTGTGATTAGTAGGAGCTCTTCCATTAAATATATAGTATGCCTTTTAGTTTAGCATTATTATTTAGCTTCCATTTTATAATACTCTGTTGAACTGACCTCGCCATGAAATTTTGTGTATGGAATTTATTATATAATAGTAGTATAGAATATATAAAATATTGTATTATATATTATCAAAAAGAATATTTGCAGTAATCATATTTGAAGTAATCATTTTTATCTGAAGAAATATATTTTTAATTATCATTTTAATTTAATTTTTATCTGTATATTTATTTCTATAGTTATATAGAGTTTATTTTTTGTAATTTTTGTAATTCTATATCAATTATTATTATTTATTATTTTTATATTTTTTATTATTATTTATTTACGTCTGATATGTCTATTTATTTTTATAATTATATTTATATTTATATTTATATTTATATTTATATTTATATTTATATTTATATTTATATTTATATTTATATTTATATTTATATTTATATTTATATTTATATTTATATTTATATTTATATTTATATTTATATTTATATTTATATTTATATTTATATTTATATTTATATTTATATTTATATTTATATTTATATTTATATTTATATTTATATTTATATTTATATTTATATTTATATTTATATTTATATTTATATTTATATTTATATTTATATTTATATTTATATTTATATTTATATTTATTCATTCTTTATATACGATAATTGAGTATCAATATATTCCTTATAATTTGACTACTCCAACGATGCTCATCCCTCTCTTCTCTCTTCTCTTAGGTATCGTCTCCCGTGCGCACCCACAGCAGCTTTCCAATGACCATGACCACGAACACATCGTCTCGTGCGCCGAATATGGCGCTGCTCACGTCCTCGGTGAACAGTCCGAACATCAGTCGCACCTACAGCAGCTCCACGACCACCACAGAGTACATTGAGATACGCACCGAGGGCGGCACTGGGGATGAGGTGGACACGGAATCGATACGCAAGCGCCTCACAGATCGACTGCGTCGTTCGCTCTCGAAGACCATCTCGACTGTGGCGGGCTTGAATGCGGATGAGAATAGGAACAGCTCGGACAGGGGCAGTCGCTATAGCCGATCCGTGTCGCGTTCCGTTTACGATGACGAGGATAAGAGCTCGAAGCGCAGCTACTCCACCGGCGAGGAGGACATCATCGAGGAGGAGGAGCAGCTGGAGGATGAGGATGAGCAGTTCCGCAGCTTCAATGTTACGCGACAGTCAAGGACGCCGGACAACTCCTGCCGGAAGCGGCTGGCGCCCCAGGAATTTGGTGGCTGGCCTGGAGCACTGCTCCTGCTGCTGAATGTGCCCGTTCTGGTCTACTATCTCACCTGGAGCTGTACGGCGCGCAACGGCTGTCAGCTGAAGCGGCCCAATCCCATGGCTCTGCTCGACTGGAACTATCTGACGCGTCAGGTGTTCCTGCCGCACGTCGTCGGCGTCTTCTCGGCCTACCAGTTTGTGGTCTTTCTGCTGGTGGCCCTGCTGCCCGGACGACGTGTCCATCTCACACGTGAAACGTACAAATTCAATGGATTGGGTGTCAGCTTCACCCTGCTGCTCGCTGGCGGCATCGCCGAGTATCTGAAGTATCCCGTGGTCAGCTTCATACTCCGTCACTATCTCAGATTCTGCATCTATGGCCTGATCAGCGCCTTTGTGGCCGCCGCCTGGAGCTACTGGCGCGTCGACACCACCAAATACAATGTGCTCCGCCAGACGCTGGTCAATGACTACGGGCGCAGCGGCAACTTCGTGATCGACTTTGCCCTGGGCCGACAACTGAATCCCAAGTGGCTGGGACGCGTCGACTGGAAGCAATACTACTATCGGCTCTCCCTGGTCAGCACCCTGCTCTATGCCGTCTGCTACATCTACCAGACGCTCCAGTGGCCCCAGTGGCCCCAAGCCCAGGAGGGCTACGTCCATCTCGTACGCTACTATTGGCAGAATGTCAACTACGATGCCGGCGCTCTGCTGGCGGCCAGTTCGCTCCTGTTGTATGTGCTGGATGCGCAGATCTTCGAACATCATCTCAGCTGCTCCTTCGAGCTGCAGCACGAGGGCTACGGCTGCCTGCTGCTCCTGCGCTACGCGGCCACGCCCTATCTACTCAGCTCGGTCAGCAAATACTTCTACGAGCAGCGCGTGCCCATCAGCTGCTGGTATGCACCGTACGCTGTGCTCTGCCTGCTGCTGCTGGGATTGGGCATCAAGCGCTACAGCTGCGCCTACAAGTACAAGTACCGTTTGAACTCGCAGCATCCCGTCTTCGCCAACATCGAGACCATTCACACCTACCAGGGCAACCGGCTGCTGCTGAGCGGCATGTGGGGCCATCTGCGCCAGCCCAACTATCTGGGTGACATCATCGCGCTTTGCGCTCTGGCCGCGCCCATGATCCTGCGTCCGGCTTGGCCGCCGCTGCTGTCGCTGCTGCTGCTGATCCTAGTTCTGTTGCATCGGGCCACGCGCGCCAATGCGCGTAATCAGGAACGTTATTTCTCCTCCTGGCAGCGCTACTGCATCCTGGTCAAATACTACATAATACCCAAGGTTTTCTAAGCTCCAGCGAAAGCTCAAGGCGCATTTTTTGATTTGGCTCTGCCCACCGCAAATTTTTGATAATTTTTTTTGTTTTTATTTTAATTTTATTTTAATTGTATTTTTATTTTTCATTGGATTTCAACTCGAATTATTTTCCTGTACATATATTCTCAGGTTAGCGACCTGTCGTCCTTCATTTCACATTTTCACCTGTTTCATTTTTCTCGATTTTAATTGATTTTAGTACAAAGCAAAAACAAAACAAAACTCGACATTTATTTTACTTCAAGGACAAGATTATATGACTAGCCATATAAAGGATGTAATACAAATTATATATATATACACACACACACGCGACTTATATGATTGATATATAAATTGAGCATATTCTAAGCTTTAGAATTTATTATTTAACAACTCTGATATATAATTTTAGTTATAACAATTTTAAATACATGTACCATGTAAATATATTGCAATTACTTAAATCTAATAAACAAAATACATTCGTTTCTCAATTGAAGGAAACGAAAAAAAACACAACTATTTGATTCTATTTTAGTTTAGTTAATTGGCTTAAATTTTTTATAATGTAATTTTTCTGCAAATGAGAAAAGAATTATTCTTTGATTTTATGTAATTGAGTTTTTATGTTTAGAGTTTATTGTTTTTTAAAGAATTATTCTTTGATTTTAATTGAGTGAAATACTTTTTTTTTTTTTTTTTTTTTTTTTTAACTAATAAATTGTATATTTTATAGAAAAGAGTATTACGTATGCGCTCCCGCTCTGAGCAAGAATGAACTCTCGGCTCTTTTCTTTTTTGATGTTATTCCTTCACGAACATCGTTTAGGGAGAGACACGATTGACGTTCGTGCTATGAGTCTGAGTAAGCAACAGTCTCATTACGTGATCGTGAATCGTGTCGCTCCCTAAACGTTGTTCGTGAATAAATAGCCCACAGACTTCATGAGGGGCCGATGTAATCGGGTTTTCTCTGAACTTTTCTCATAGTGTTAGTAAAAGACAGT